AAGACGACGACAACGAGACTGTCATCGACTCGGACTTCGGCGACGAAGACATCGACCAACACATGCAAGACGTGAACCAAATCGAGAGAGTGTTGATCACTGAGAGTGAGACCAACTCTACGGACCACCGAAACAATGGTCTGCGCGGGAAAGTGGAGGAAGTGGTCGACGAACGCGAGATCGTCGCCGAAGAGATCGTCGCTAATTGTTTGGACGACGACCTCCTCATGGGTTCACAACTGTTGGCCAAGAAGTACAAGAAGAATGTTCTCAAAAGCGACACAAATGACGCCAAAGATTGTCACAAACGATGTCAACGAGACATTCAAAGAGAGAAAGACATTAGAGTTGGAGTGGAGTTGGAGTTGGAGTTAGAGAGACAGCAAAGGATTCATTTCCAGAAACTATATGAACATCACATGAGTTATTCCCTCCGCAAAGAGTTGGATGACTGCAACCAAATCAAGAGTTTGAAACTCGAGATCTTAAAGTGTAAGCAAGAGTTGCAATCATTGAAACGATCTCTAAGTGATGGCAATGATGTCGACCTGAGTTTACACATGGAATCAACGAGTAGTGAAATCAAAGAGGAATTTAATTGCGAGAACTGTAGCGAACACATGAAGACCGAGGCGTCGCTGATATTTCATCTCATTAACCATTGTATCGGCGAAGAAGAGTTCCGCTTAGAGACCACTGCCTTTAAGTTGACAAAGAGGAATTTAATTGCGAGAACTGTAGCGAACACATGAAGACCGAGGCGTCGCTGATATTTCATCTCATTAACCATTGTATCGGCGAAGAAGAGTTCCGCTTAGAGACCACTGCCTTCAAGTTGGATGAGTTCACGGCTTCCGTATTGGATGGCATTCGGAAGAGTGTCGCCTATTATTGTCCGCGTTGTCTGCAATCATTCAATTGTCTGGAAATCTATTATCACGTCTATAAATGTCACACAAAAGAGATGCCATTGATTTGTACCGAATGTCACACATATTTCACTCATTTAGACGTTTGGAGAGATCACAACCAATTCATTCATAACGGATCCATTCAATCGGTTATTTACGCCGACATCGGGACAGTGGAGCGCCGGACAGCACAACCACTACCACCACCACCAGTACCCCAACGGACATCTTTTGCCACAACCAGCCGACCAAACGGCCCGCTGACTACATCCCGCACCAATCATTACCCGTCGTATGCGACCAATTGGTCGGACATTAACACACGACCGCTAAACACACAATCATCCAAAACAACAAACAATTACAGTGCAAACCGTATGTCCGACGGCAGCTCCAGTCCCGAAGTGATCAATTTGTCTGATTCACCGCCGCCTCCACCGAGAACTACGACCAATACTACAACTACTGCTCCAAAGCCTGTGTGGAAGGCAAACACCAATTCATCAAACTTTTCGTGTGATTTTCCCGACTGTGACTTCAAAACTAATAGCAAAGACAAACTCCAGTTCCATATCAGCGCTCACACGAACTCCAAGTTTAAGGTTTGTGTCTATTTTCTGAAACACAAATGTTTCGTTTACTAACCCATGGATTATGTCCTGTAGTGTCCGTACTGTCCATACGTGGGAAATATACTGAACGATATCTATCGACACATCCAGAAGAGCAAAAAGCACGAGAATATGCGCGTCTATGAGTGTCGTGAGTGCTCTTATGGGACCAACTGTTTGTCGTCATTCAAAGAGCATTTAAGTCGAAAGCATTTCGACGATTCCGACGAAGAGGACGAAGTGAACGAATATATAACAGACATGTTTCGCAACCATCACTCCACTGATAACGGCATTCAAAGTGATTCCGAATCGGATTAACGTATATTTTATTTATGAATTAAATTTTATTGGTTTTGAACACATTTTTTACACATTTTATGAACCGTTTATTGCAATTGTAATTCAATCAACATTTTTGAAAAAATAAATTAGAACTTTTCAGTTGTATTGTTAATGAAGTGAGACTAGAGTTTGGTTTAAAAATTTATAAATAAATAAACTTTAGTTAAAAACAAAATTATATAATCAGTAAAAATACAAACAATAGTTTTTATCAAAAGGCACTGAAAGTTAGTTCGACAACGAATTAAGGTCTTAATACTCATTTGAAATGATCCATGAATTGGGAAATGCAATCATTTGTGTCCAAAACATTAGATTAATTGTTGTCCTGTATTTGTTTTTGCAATAATTCCATCTCTTGTTTCAATGAGTCGACACACGCCTGAAGATTCACTAATGGTCTGTAAAAAACAATGGAAATTAAAATATACTTAATTTGTTTTTGAATTGGTTTTTCATTAAATATTTAAATACTTCGCTTCATTAGTGGTGTCGACGCTTTGGTCCAAAAGTTTGGTCACGAGTTCTTCATTAAAAGTTGACTCTTGTGTGACAACAATCTGACTGGCGTTCAACTGTTGCCTGAGTTTCTGGTTTTGATCGTAACTATTCTTGAGAGCGACTCTCAGTTCAGTCAAACGCGACTGAAGACTGAATTTACTTTTTCAGACTCTTGTGTGACAACAATCTGACTGGCGTTCAACTGTTGCCTGAGTTTCTGGTTTTGATCGTAACTATTCTTGAGAGCGACTCTCAGTTCAGTCAAACGCGACTGAAGACTGAATTTACTTTTTCTCAATTCATTCAATTCGTTGTTCAGAATCTGTTGATCACTTCGATAGCCGTCTAATTGTTGTCTCAAACTCTGTATTTCAGTTTCGTTTCTCACTTTAATGGAATTGTATTGGTTTTTCATTCCTTCCATTTCCTGATTCTTCTCGAGTAAATTTAGACTCAAATTCTTGAGCTGTTCTAAAAGTGGTTCACTTCTGCCGCTCGTGTTCTCCAGTTTACTCTTGAGGTTCTGATTTTCCTCTTTAATTGCTTTCAATTCGTTGACAATTCTTTCAATTTCTTTTCGAAGACCGCTTTCCGTCTCTTTAATACTTTTCATTTCAGTCTCGCAATCAATCACTTCTTGTTTGCGTTTGTCTGCCATTGCGTTCGCTTCCGAAAGACTTTTCTTCATTTCATTCATATCTTTTTTAATGTAATTATTTTCTCGTTTTTCATTGAACACAGAATGGCGTAAATCCTTGACGACAGCCCTTTCCTTCTTCAGATCGCTCTCCAATTCATTGATTCGTTTATTTAATTTCGTTTCTAATTCTTTTAGTGTTTTGCTTTTCTCGTCATTTATTTCTGCCAAACGAATCACTTCTTCAGTCTTGGATGCGATCATCACTTCCAGAGCACTGATGTGTTGGTTCGTTGAGTTGAGTCCAGCACTCGATAACTTTCCCCTTTCGTGCTCTAAATTCAGGATTATTTTCTGGTTTTGTTCGATAAGTGAATCCTTAGATCGGATCTCATCTCTTAATTCATTCATTTCTCGCATTAATCTTTCGTTTTCGACAATCACTTCTGAATTATCACTTTTCTCCTCAAAATCTTCAGTTTGAGTCGAGACTAGAATTTTGGTAATGTTTGCGGAATTATCACTCATTTTCTCTAAATTTATTTCCAACTCTTTCTTCCTTTCACTCATTTCTCTGTATTTTTTGGTCAATAGTTTGACGTTAGACTCAAGGCTTCGGATCTTTTCGTTTTTAACTTTCATTAATTCGTCGATTGTTTGCGAATTGCAATCATTTCGATATTCACAACATTTTAATGAATTATTTTCAGTTTGCATTTCAATCATTTTATTCTCATATATCGATACTTTTTCACTCAATGTCTTAACTTTACTATTGTCTTCTATCACATTCTTCTGGAGTGTTTCAAATCTATGGTTTACTTCAGACAATTTCGTTTTCAATTCTGAGTTCTCTTTCAAGAAGTGGTTCTTTTGTTCGTCAAATTTGATTTGATTGGCTCTCAATTCAGTGTTCATTGTATTCATTACTTTCTCGAGTTCTTGCTTTTGGATTCTAAGCTCAAAGATATTCAACTCCGGGTCTGCAGTGGCGTCCGGACTAATGGTTTGCTTGATTTCTATTAATTCCCGTTCTTTCGTTTGAATTATATTCAAAAGTTTCGATTTTTCGTTTTCAAGTAAATCGAGTTTACTTTCTTTGGCGATAAGATTGCTTTGAATTTGTTTTAAACTTCTTTCGTGTTTTTCAATCAATTCTTTCAGTAGTTTTGTCGCCGTTTCTAACGATTTGTTCTCAAACAACAGTGAATTCAATTGGGATTCAGAATCTTTTTTGTCTTTTCTCAATAAGTCATTCAATTCCTTCTGTCGCTTCAAATCGATATTCAAACCTCTGATCTTGAGTTCCAAATCAGAATTATATGAATTCAATGTCTGAATCTCACAGTCTTTGTCGGACAACTGCTTTTTGCATACATTCAAGTTGTTTGCACTCAATTCCTGTTCGTTGACTAGTTTTTGGTTGTTTTCAGTTAATTGTTTCATTTGTTTGTTCAGATTCTCAATTCTTATATCACTTTCAAATAGTTTTTGTTTGGAATCTGTGGACAACTCATCGGTTTTAGTGACTAAAGTAGTATTTATTTCCTTTTTGGGTGAAAACAATTGCTTTTCTGTCTCTTTAAGCATCAAATCGGCATTTATTCCTTCCAAATGTCTCATCAATTGATCCTTTTCTTTGACAGCTTTATGTGTCGTTTCGATTAATTGTTGCTTTAATACTGAGTTCAATGTCTGGACTCTTTCGAAGTCATTCCTGGCATTGATTGAGATCTGCTGTTCAGACACTAACTTCTGGTGGGTTTCGTTGAGTTTGATTTGCAATTTATTTAATTCTAATTCAAACCATTCTTTTCGGACAGAAATGGCGTCCATTTCTGCCGTTTTTCGCTTAATCTCTTCTTCGAGATTGACTTTTGTCTGAAAAAATGAATTCATTTCTCCATTCATTTCCGATATCTTTTTATTCAATTGTTTGATTGTATTGTCATTTGATTCCAAATCAATCTTTAAATGTTCGCAATTTATTCGTATATTTTTATTGTTTTCATTCAATTTATTCATGTCTTCGTTGAGTCCCTGAATCTCCAGTGTCTTCGCGTCGACCACTTCTCTGAATTCGTTGACAATTGATTCCCATTTATTGATCCCTGACTTGAGTTCTTCGCAATCGCTGAGCAGAGACTCTCTTTGGGCGTTCATTTCATCCAATTTCTCGTTCTTCAGTTTCATCTCTTTCTCCATTGAATGCAATTTCATCTGAAGATCGGACCTCTCTTTCACCATATCATTCATAATGTGATCCAATTGGTCGGCCTTTCCTCTCATGTTTGCGTTCTCTCGTCTCAATTCAAAGAGAGGACCCGTTGTCTCGTCAGTGATGGACGCCTGAGTGTATTCGTTGACCACAACCGGCACTTCAGTCTCCGTCGAGACATCACTGGTAGTAATCATGTGTTGAAACGTGTCGTTTGAATGATTGGATTCAATGCCAGAACAGAACGAATGAAGAGATATTATTGATTGTCTGTCAAAGCCATTGCAGTCTTGGGAACAGTCATTAGTGACAACACTCTCCTGACTCGACATTCGGTTTAATTTCGATTTATTTCCACTTCTTTTAAACCGAATGTTCTGATGGTTTTGATTACTGATAAGTGGTGTCTTCGACTGATATCCCCAATCGGTTCCAGTGCTGCGCTCAACAGTGGTTGAGATAATATCTGGCGGATAGGGAACAAACTCGCGAAGGTGTCCGCTGTTGGCCGAACCAAACGACTTCTGGTACTCATTGACCATAACATAATTGTCGGGATAATTGGCCGTCAAATCCGTGGTCTTCAACGATAACGTGTCAGTCGTTAATGACATGGACTTCAGAGGCGACGACGTGGACGACGGCGGACCCAATGGATCCGATCTATACCTCATGTCTGGCTTGGGATCCATTGAAATACTGTTTGTCTTTCTTGACGTCAATCTAAATCAAAAAATACAAAACCAATCGTTTGTCAAACATATGTCCCAAAAGAGCCAATCAATAGAGCATTGAATGAATGAATGGATTCATTGATGGCATCAAAGACTCACACAAACAAAGAGACACAAAGAGTGGCACTATTTTTGGCCAAACATTACATTTGATTGCATTTTGCGATCACTTCTTAAATTCAATTCAATTTAAAGTTTTGCTCTTTTTTACAGTTATTTGTGTTGTTGTCATCACTTTATTTATAGACCATATAATAGATTGTATGTCTCTTCTAATAATGCATTCAAACATTCATTTCAAACATATTTACTCAACTAATTGTGTGATCATTATATTGTCATTTGTTTAGTTCAATCATTTCATTTAAATACATCGTTCAAACAACTCAATTGACAATTTGGTATCAAATTAATGATTAATGTGTGTATCAATACAACACTAGTTTAATGCTGGCATTTACTGAATACCTGTGTATTGAAAACTTACTGTAATTTCCAATCTGTGGTGAATTGAATACAAATGGTATTCAATTAAAACAATTTAACGATAACTTACAGTCAATTAAAAGCTGTTTACAGAGTGTCACTTTGACTCAAATGATATTTTAGTCAATTTATAGCTTATTTTATAATTTATAAATACTTTAGTTATTGAAATAAATGATAAATAAATTGAAAAATGAATGAATTGAAGATTTTTTATTCAAAGAAAGAGTGATTCATTGATCCAGTGATTCAGTGATTAGCATCGATTTGGCCGTTCATTCAGTAAAACCAGTTATAAATAGGAATTCAAAATTAACAAAACATTATTATTATTAGGAATTAAATAAAGATATGACTGTTGGGAGTAAATAAAGACATAAACCGTTAAATAAGTTTGTTTTAAGTATAAAACAATTAGAAAAACAATTTGAGTTAATGATTATAAATGACTGAATTTGTATATAAAAAACATTATCGGAACTGTAAATAAGGAATTCATTAATAATTAATAAATAAATGGAGAAAATAAATGCTTTTTGAAAATATAGAAAAACCAAACATTAGATGTAATGAATCGCTAATTATTGCACACAATTGAAGAAATACTCTTAAAATATCGTAAATCATTCAAAAAAATATTCAAATTGTTAACAAAAGTGGGAAAGTCCTGGTGATTGGGATCCATGTATTTCGTGGCTAAACTATTCCTCTGTATATCATTAAGCGGTTCACAATTGTATAGATATTGTGGAATAAATACATTAAAAAAGTTGGGAAAATCGACAGAAGCCATGTTGAAGACAATGGCGTGAATGTCGTCTTGAAGTAAATTAAGAGATTTGTCACATAATGTCTGAATAAAGAGCGATAGAAACGGTTTAATCATTGTTTGCCTAAAGATCTCCTTTTGATATAATTTGAGTCGAGTGTTGAGAATCTCTAAAGCGTCCAAATTATGTTTGAAAACAGTGATGTCGTTCTCGAGGAATGATTGCGCGAAGATATTCATTATCTGCACGAATGCGTCGCCATTTTGCAGCACTTCTGGTTGTTTTTGTTGATTATGTGATGCATTAGTGAATGCGTTACCACTTATGGAATTGTTTGGATAAAAGTATCGCCAATTGTTTAGCAGTAATTGAAACAAGAATTCATACAACGATCGCCTCAATTGAGGACAATCTGTGTTTGCGATCGTCGGACAGATCTGATCGAAAGCAAAGCTTATCATTCCGGGCAACAGAGACTTGAAAGCAGTTCCCGGCTGTTGGACAATGAATGTCAACATTTTCAAGAACTTTGGGATCACTTTAGTCGAGAGCGGTTCGCATGTCATACCATTTGACTGATTGGTTGAGAATAGTTTAAGCATTAATTGAATGGTTTTCTCGACAAATTGAAAACTGATTTGTATTCGGAGGACATCGAAGACTATTATAAACAGATTGAGACAATTCTCAGCGATAAACGGATTTGTGAAATAAGTGGGAAATAAATTAATAAACGACTCCAAAGAGCTTTGAATGCTTTTAAACAGCAATTGTTTGGTTCGTGTCGGAGACTCTTTGTGATTGTCGACGATATCACTCAATAGAGTCAACGAATGGCAGAGTTGTGTCGCATTGAGCGTCTGCTGTGGAAGCGATCCATTGACAGGCATTTGACTGCATTTAAACGCGTCTTTGAAAGGCTCGACAATGGCCTCAACAAACATGTCGTGATAAACGGTTCTCGACTCCCAATTCTGTGAAGAATCGTTGTTTAGGTTAAGCCACGGAAGCAAAAGCATGTTAGATATGGAGCGACACAACAACTTCTCGTCTTCAATACTGATGACTGGAAAGCCATTAGAAGTGTTATGACACGACCGGACATAAGCGCATACTTTGGTGAACAGCATTTGCACGCATTCCAGAGTCAACATAAATATTGGCCGAACACTAGTGGACACCGAATAGAGTAAGTGTCCGGCGCTGTGACTCATCTTATTGTTGTTGTTATTGTTATCACATATAATTTGGATACAGTTCTCGACAATGGCTGATATGATGACAACGCTATCATTGCTTGTCTGGTCTTCGTTGCAGTACTTCTGCAACCAATGACAATAGGCTTTGATGGTTGCCATGAGTTGAGCGCAAACATCGGTGAAGTCGTTTGACAGATGTTTTTGTTTATGGAATTTGTGTTTATTAAACAGAATTAAGGCCTGAATTAGTTTCTCGATCAACGATTTGGTCGAAACAAACCAACGGTTAAAGTTGTCAGAAGTGAAGTGATCGGCCAAACGGCCCACAAGTCTCAACGATGTCGACAAATCACGTAAAGTGCAGTGCAGTCGATAGACATCCGTTTCCGACAATTGCAAACCTATTGTCTCGTTGTTTTGATTGGTATCTAAACAGCGCTCTAAACCAAAAAACGACTGTAAGTTCTCGTTATGGAATTCACTGACAATTTCATAGGTCTCTAAGGGATACATATCCGCTATGTTTGCCATCACTTCAATGCAATTATGGGAAAAGTGTTGCCATTCTGTCAAATAGTCGTCGTCTAGGTTTTCATTGTCTAATTTGTCTAAATCTCTGGCATTGTATTTAAATTGAATCTTACGACTCAAATGCACTAATAGGGAGACAATGGGTTCTTTATAGTGGTTCACAATTAGGTTCACTTGTTTTGAATCGTTTTGTTGTTTGATTTTGACGCTCAGGTAATCGATGAATATATTCCAGAGCTCTAACGCTGAGAGGAATGAATCACAATTGGTTTGTTTGAATGTGTACTCGAAGACGAGTCCCAAGAACTCCATAATAGGAAATGTGGGTATTTTCTCGAATCGGGGCAAATGGCCGCTAATGAAGAATCGCAGAAATTCTGTGAATTTACTCATATATTCTTCGTCCAAGTGGTCAAACGGGGATCCATTGGTCTCGTTATTCAAATCATTACTTTTAGTCAATTTCCTCAATAAGTGGAATGTGTTTTGAAACATATTATAAATGAATTCATTTGTTTCCGTATTCGTTGAACACTTGGCTATCAATTCGTTGATACAATTCATGGCCAGAACTGCCAATTGTGTGGAACTCTGTTTGTGTCCACTCATGACCGCCGAGTGGTTGCAGCCGAAAGTGGCGAACACGAAGACCGCCGCTAACGTCGAGTGACTTATTTGGTAACACAGACTCAATGGCATGAATGCAAACAATTGTGACAAACATATCAGCACTTGTGACGACATTTCTATCGATTCCGAGTCCATGTCTGGAATTGTCTGCAAAAGTCCTCTCCGAAGACTCAATTCAAACGCATTGCACAACACATCTGACAACACATCAAAACACATATTTAAGACAATGTTTAAAATGACAGCCAAATGAATGGTACAAACCTTTATTGATAGACGGATTGGAGTCTGAGTTAGGGCTCTGGGAGGGAGAGGGCGGAGGCGTTGCTGTCAGGAAATTGCAGTGTTTGTCGAGAATCAGTTCCATTAGATTCGTCAAAGACATCAAAATGTTGGGCATCTCTGAGACCAAGAGTTTGTTGAGTTCGGTCTTGCGTTGAGCGCAGACGTCATCCCGGGTTTGACTCAACTCTTCAATCGTGGTCTTCACGAGGAGAAGACCCAAACGTGTGGTCTGTTTTGATTGCAACAAATCCAACACGTTTTGCATGAAATCGGGATAACTGTTGGGCCAATCGATGCGCGCGATTGTGACCAACAATTTGGCCGTTTTGTTGCGCAAGTATTGAGGCATCGATTGGTTGTTTGACAACAAGTAGTTCCAAATGGAGATCCGTTTGTCACTCCTGTCGCCACCCAATTGATCCCATTTGACGACAATTAGGTTCTCCAGAACTGAGAGACAATACATGAGTGTGTATTCGTTGTCCGTTTGTGTCAAGTATTGGAGACATTGTGGCCAACAGTTGTCTTGTTTGGAGAACTCATTCAAAATCACTTCAATTTGTCGTTTCCTCTCATTAGTGGTCGAGTCGTGAAAGAACTCATTCATCAGCGCTTCCAGTGATCGCAAACACTCCGAAGCACTCATTATCTGTCAAAACACACACAATATGTGGAGATGTGTACCGATTATCACTCAATACGTGATACGAGTCAAGTGGTGATCAAAGTGTGTCTCCAATCACTCATTCATAGCATCTGTGAATCAAACCATCAAATTATGTGTCCATTAAAAGTCACTTTCAATGCTTGAGTCGATTACGAGTGAAAGCAAACACTGATTGTCCGCTCAGTTGTGTCGCAATCAATACAATTATAGCAAACAATTACAATAGCGTTGACTTTAAAACACTTTTTTCTCATTTCGTTATCAATAATAAAAATTTATTCACAAAATAATCACTCATTCATTGAATTCACTCTCAATTCAATGCAATCGTAACACAACTGAACGCCTATTTCTCAATGAAAATCATTCACTTTAATCATTGAAAT